AGGATCCTTCAACTAATAAAAATCTTGCCAAAATGGCTCACGTGACATTTTTTTGTTTAATGTTCTCAAGGCACATATATTATTTTGGTGAGGATTTAACCACCTAAGGGATCTTTTGATCCACATCAATATTAACACAAAAAAGTGGAACTAAGTAAAAGAAAAGAATAGATGGCATGAGATCACATGTGTGGGGCTATATATTAATAATTAAGGTTTATTTACATCTTTCAAATGATTTGAGAGTTAATTTGCATCATTTGAAAGGTTTGAGGGCTTATTTGCACTGTATTTAGTTTAGAAGTTCACTTGTTAATTTGGGACAAGTCTAGGTGTTTAAGAGGGGGTTTGCTCACTTTTATAAGGTTAAATGTCTTCCTCAACTTTCAATTTTGAACAACTTTCAATTTCGAACAAATTTCATCCCTTAACCTCTTTTCACACTTCTTTTGTTCCTTAACTTTAAAAATTGCTCATTTTTTATACCTTCATCAATTATCCATGACATGGTTGTTAACTTTAAGTCCAAATTAGCACTTTTTACTGACATGGTAATGACACATCACAACATTAGCTTACATGGAAAATAAAAACACATAAGTCCTCTTCAACTTTATTTAATAAATGATAAAAAAAACTTTAAAATTACATAAATGCCCTTATAAACTTCATCTTCTTTCTCTCCCCTATTTTTTTCTCTCTCTCAATTCCTTAACCCTAAACTATGACAACCTCTCCCTCCCTCTCCTTTTCTTTAGCAACCTCTCTCTTTCTTTTCGTTTTTCTAGTGCCTACTTTGCTTCCCTTCCCCTCTCATCCCTTCCTTGATTTTTTTCCAGCTAACATAATACTATAACACAAATTTTGAAACCGAAAAAACATAGGCAAAGAAGTGCATGCAAAAAATCTATAGAATCTTATCTAGACCTAGCAAAATTACACCTAATTCAAAGTTCTAACCCAACTTATACAATATAAGTAGGGTCATGGATCTAAGATATTAACCTAGAATCTGATATAATCCAAATCAAAATTACTCGGATCCAATTGAGTTGGGTCAGGGTCAAGTCAAATCGAAATGACTCAATTAAAATTAATTAATTTTTTTAAATTAAAATTTGATTAATTATACTTTAAA